AGAGAGAGAGAGAGAGAGAGAGAGAGAGAGAGAGAGAGAGAGAGAGAGAGAGAGAGGAGGTTAAACTTGCCGGTAGAGGATGTTGAGATGGGGGGATGGGGTGAGAGTAGAGTCCGGTATGAAGGGTTTCTGTAGATGCCACACTATGCTTTCTGGGCACAGCTTGCACCGACAACATGGGCTTCGAGTTGACTACCATTTGGATCAATGAAAAGCTGGGTGAGAAGTTGAGAACTGGCACATGAGAAACGTTTTCCCCAGATTCTCCATGGGCTTAACTGAAACTGTGTTGCTTTCAAAATGCTCCAATCTGGGCCGAAAACAAGCGCAGAAATGTATGAATCCATAGGTAGGCTTGATCCAACATGACCTGCTCTTGCTTTTCCTGATGGCTTAAAGCTCCCTTACTAACTCGGCTCTCACCTGGCTTGACTACCTTCTTCCCCCGAATACAACGTACGGTCATTATAGCTGTACTTAGACTGAAAGATACCACAAATACGACTATAATGACCGGGCGTTCTATTCGGGTGAAGACGGTAGCCTACCCTGGTCTCACCTGGGCCAACCTGGCATAAGCTGTTGATGTCCTAACCCTTGGTTTGTACACCAGCATTAACTCTGGTTTCATCTGGCCTGCCCTTGCATTACCTGTTTTCCTACCGGGTTACACCTGGCCTGACCTGGCCTAACCCTTGGTTTGTACACCAGCATGAACTCTGGTTTCACCTGGCCTCCCTTGGCATTACCTGTGCTTGGTGGTGCGATTTCCTACCTGGTTACACCTGGCCTGACATTGGCCTAACCCTTGGTTAACCCTTGACTCCTTGGTGCGATTTCCCGCGTGGTTACACCTGGCCTAACCCTTGGTCTGTACACCAGCATTAACTCTGGTTTCACCTGGCCTCCCTTGGCATTACCGGTGCTTGGTGCGATTTCCCACCTGGTTAACCGGGCCTGACATTGGCCTAACCCTTGGTTTCCACACCAGCATTGACAGTGGTTTCACCTGGATTCCCTTGGCATTACCTGTCCTCGACTCCTTGGTGCGATTTCCCGCGTGGTTACACCTGGCCTAACCCTTGGTTTGTACACCAGCATTGAATCGGGTTTCACCTGGCCTCCCTTGGCATCACCTGTGCTTTTGTGATTTCCCACATGGTTACACCTGGCCTAACCCTTAGGCCTGTACACTAGCATTAACTGTGGTTTCACCTGCCCTGCCCTGGCATGTTACCTGTGCTTGGTGCGATTTCCCACCTGCTTTCACCCGGCCTGACCTGGCCTAACCCTTGGTTTGTACACTCGCATCAACTCTGTGGTTATCTGACATGCTTCGAATCATTTTTTATTTTGTTCGTGGAATAGCCAGATGCACAAACAATTGTCGGACGTACTGCAGATGATATGCTTCCCATCAGGCGTCCAGACCAAGCATTGAATCCTCCCAACTGCACCCTTCGCATACGCAAACAGCTGACATCGCGACAGCTTGATGACCTGAAACACACACAAGCACGCGTACACACAGCGCATGAGAAGTCGATAACACCCATACAGTTGGTATCCATGGCTGAGTGGGTATGTAGAGTGGGTTTTATGGCTGTGGCAGACTAGTTTCTCAGACTTACTGCCCTTCGTATCAGCGGTTCGAACTGACAGTCTGCTAGGATTGCAGGGTCGGTGTGAGTAAAGTTGACACTTTCCCATCTTAGGGGCAAAAAAAAAAAAAAAAAAAAAAGGGGCATCGCTAACTCAGGGAAACGTGTCGAGTTCTTAATACTTCTTATCCATCAGTCACATGCATCCTGGGCGGACTGTTGGGGTTCAACCTCCTGACGAGTCAGTGAAAGTCCCATGAAACAGTCTGTCTGGCATAGTCATGCTTCTTTCTGAGGAGTTGTGCATAGCGAATGTGACAACACACACACACACACACACACACACACACACACACACACACACACACACACACACACACACACACACACACACACAATGAGGCCATTTTTTTCTTTTTTTTGTTGATATGTCTCAGATCATTCTGGGGTTGTTAGTGGAATTTCAAAGTTTATTAGTTAAAACTTAAAAGATCATGCATTATGTTTGCCTACCATTTTCACCCGAATTGAACACTACTTTCAGTCCAGGTACAGCGATAATGAATGGGTGTTCTATTCGGGTGTAGACGGTAGGGGGATATTGGATCCTGATTCGGTAAGGATGAGCCACACTGACCCTCTCACTAACCCTGCTCATCCTTTTACCTTGAGGGTTTTTCAAGAGTGACATGGAACTAGAGCGAAATCTGTATTTCATCTCAGTGCTTTTTTCACATATGCGCCGATAATACCCGATATGAGGTGAATTTCACTCATGTTGTTTTGCTTGTAAGAGCACTTGATACCCAATTCATCACTTCTTTGAGAGTTTTTCAATTGGTAAAGTGAACCGGTGAAAGCTCCATTTTTCAGTCCATCGTCTGGCCTGTGGTCCGTCTCGGTTTGTCTACGAACGAGTTCTGGGTGCATTTTTGGGAACTTTTTAAGGATGACCTCATGGAATATAGTTTGGCAGTCAAGAAGAGCTCGTTTGGAGGCATGATCGACCAAGGTGTCACCACACTTCTTTACAAAAAAGGGGACAAAGAGGACATCAGAAACTACAGACCCATCACCCTCTTGCCCATCCCCTAGAAAATGGTCGCCAAGGCGCTAACCAATCGCCTGCTCCCGTTCATGAATATACTAATACACACGGACCAAACTGGATTTATGCCCAACCGTAATATTCAAGATAATATCTTGCTTGGTCAATGACACCATCAAATACGCCCTGCCAGCGCAATGTCCGGGCAGCTGTCCTGATCATAGATTTTGAGAAAGCATATGATCATGTGGATTGGGACTTCCTTGACATGTGCTTGGCCAAGATGAACTTTGGGCCACCCTTTAGCTACTGGATTCACATCCTCCACCGAAAAGCCTCCACAAACGTCGTGCTCAATGACCATCTCTCACCGCCAATACAATTATAAAGATCCATGCGACAAGGGGACCCATCGCACCTTTGCTGTTTGTGATTGTAATGGAAGCCTTGTTGCTCCCCACAAATAGATTGGAGCATCGTCTCAAAAAAATAAAAATAAAAAAAATTGGAAGCCTTGGCTTCGCTAATTAGAGCTCATCCCGACATCGCCGAAGTACCCATCTTGGAACTCCCCCAACATTTGGTCCCGGTAACATTGCTGTTCACATATGACCTCACAGTCCTCATTGTAGACTCAGACAGCCTCAGAGCCCTCACCCCGGTGATACGTTTATTCTCGTTGGCAGTAGACATGAAAGTGAATTGGGCCTCTAAAACAGAGGGGTGGTGATTCCATCCAGAAGCACTGCCCCCTCCTCTTGAACCGAGGGTCGCATGGGCCCAGAGAGAGGATGCCATAAGGATAATAGGGGTGAGATTTATGGCAGTGGGCCCGCTGCTAGACCATGGCGATATGCTAGTGGATACAGCCATCGACCGACTGACAAAGCGGGAAGGGCTACACACCTCGCTGGTAGGACGTGCCCTAACAATTAACAACGCTATCCTCGCAAGCAGCTGGTACAAATAAGCAGTGTGGCCGCTAAAGCAGCAGCAGAGCACCAGGCTGAGAAAGGCGGTCACAAAATATATGTGGAAGAACAACGCCAAAGATCAAGGCTGTGTGAACCGAGTGAGTTGGGATGTCCTCACACAACCAAGAACCAAAGGGGGACTAGAGATATTAGACCCGAAAAGGGAAAGTGAGGCCTTGATCTTTAAAGTCATGATCAGGCTGCTGATAGGTAATGACATACCATGGGGCCCTTTAGCTGGCCTGCACATAGCCAACCTGGCCCCGGAGTCCACAACAGACAGTCAAGTCCACCCCTTCCAAGGGTTAACTAATAAATATTGGACAATCCCCTCCCCCCCCACAACATGGACAGGAGGGCACCCCAACCCAAGTAACCAAAATCGACATTAACAACGACCAGTTGTGGCCCAATATGATCAAGCTCTAGAGGCGATGCGGACCAGAGCAGAAACAACCTCCCAACAGGTAGCAGGATGTGTGGCGCCAGCCTCTTTTCGGAAACCCTTACATCCTTGACGAGGCAGACGACCCCTTCAAGTTAACAGCAAACTCACCATGGCTCACATGGGCCAAGAAAGGGGTCTACACGGGAGGGGACCTGTGGGACCCGACAAGAGCCGACTGGGCCACGACGAACCAACTGCAACGAAAATTGAAACATGTCAAGAATGTGGAAAACAAAATGCTCCAACTGAGGGAATCACTCCCCTTGGCTTGGAGATTCGTCCGCGCGAAGGGTTCTACGGTTCTGCTGGATGACTGGGTAATAAGATATGCAGATCTGCCCCTCCCGCACCTCGTATACAAAGTAAGACAGAATGACGAAGGGAGTTGTACTCTAGATGTCCATGAACCTCAGATGCCGAGGGCCAGGTTCTCCCAACTGACAATTAACGATGACCTGGATGCAACTGAAATGTGGGGATGGCTAATGCTCATTAGAGTGGTAAGAGGTGCAGACAACGGCTTCTTCCTGTACGAGCCCGCAATCCCCATTGCCAAGCTGCCGTTGGATCCGACTGAGTGGGAATGGCCTGGCACAAATCCATGCGCGTGTTGGAGTACACGGAGAAAGGGGTCTACAGAGCCTCAAGACTGGATCTGCCAATCAATCAAGCGATATCACAAAGATGGGCATGGGACTCGTCGATGGACCAGGAGCTACTGGCTCACCTACCATGGGCGAAATATTCTAAGATTATGCCTACCAATCTCAGATCCCTGCAGTGGCAGATTCTACACCGTTTCATACGGAAGTGGGTGCGAAGGCGAAGGAAGGTGGGCGTAGGGGCGAAGGATGGTCGACGTTGTGGGGCGGGTCTGTGTGAGGTTGAGTGTAGCCAGCGTCGAGAGAGAGAGTGAAAGAGAGAGTAGCCCAATTGAATGTAGTAGCGTAGAGAGTCGAAGTCCAGTAAGCGTAGAGTAGCGTCGTAGCCATCCAACATATAAGTTGAGTGTAGCCTTTTTTCTTTTTTTTTGTCTTAGGGGTGGGGTCGCCCATGTAGAAGTCGTCGTCGTCGTCATAGCTTAGACTCTCTCTCTCTCTCTCTCTCACCGTTGTAGTAGCTTAGGTGGCCGCAAAAGGTGGGAAAGGTGGGCGGCAAGGTGAGGGAAGGTGGGTGCGGAGAGTAGGGAAAGTGGGCGTGGAGGGTAGGGAAGTTGGCCGCAGAGGGGGAGGAAGGTGGCTGAGAGGGGGGTCAAAGTGGGCGCGGAGGGGAAATTTGGTCGATGCTGTAGGGCGCCTCTGTGTAAGGCCGAGTGCAGCCAGCGGAGAGAGAGAGAGAGAGAGAGAGAGAGAGAGAGAGAGAGAGAGAGAGAGAGAGAGAGAGAGAGAGAGAGAGAGAGAGAGAGAGAGAGAG